ACACAGATTATTGTTGGGATCCAAGGATACCTTTAAATATGAACTTGCTCATTTGAAGTGTTTAACTGGACCAAAGGGAACATGTTGACACACTGCTCCTCACACTCCTTCTACCTTTGCATCTGACACCCAGTAATCATTATTACCACGAATGACCACCACTAGAGGTCAGTGTCAGGTACATGTAAATATTGGTCTTTTCTCTGGTGAAGGGGTGGCAATCACATCTGCTGGCAGGCTATAGACAATAAGAATGACTGATGAACACTGACCTCAAGCCTTTTCTCTTATGTCCAGGCACTGTGATTTGGATATGAGTGGGAAGGTGAATACTGCTGCTGAGAAGATCACATACTCCAAAACTGCCAATATGGTGTCAGACCTGTCTCCCGAAGCTGAGCCTTACACCCGGGTGAGCATACTCATAGACACACACACAAATTAACCATCCCTGGCAGTGGTTGCAGAAAATCCCACAAAAAATTAAATTGATACTTATATACCAATATGTAAACCTGCTTCCTCTTCTTCTACAAAATTTCTTCTGACCTGCAGACGTCTCGTACTCCCAGAAAGGCGGCTACGTTTGGGAAGCGCTAAAATTCTATGCGCAGGAATCCCAAAGCAGAGGTGACTAAACAGGGATGGCTGTACAAGCAGGTAAAAACCTTTCTCTCTACTCTCACGATTAAAGAACTCTCAAATGTTACATCAGTCCAGAAAAAGATTCTATCAAGTTGCATTGTGGTAATTTCTAGGATCCAGTGTTTTTTAAGCTTGACCCATACTAGGGACTTCCAATTAGGGGGGGGGGGGGGGGAGAATAGCTCATCCTCTGTTGCTTGGATTTGACGCAATTATTGTTTTAACCTACTTCTTTTGTGAATCCCCAAACTTCACAGAAAGTCAATAATAAATTGCTTTGAAGTAACAAGGGAAATACAAAAGCCAAAGACTACAAAAAGCGTTGGAAAATCAGCAGATGTCTTTTCTGCTTACTTTTTGGTAAAAAGGAATTTGAAGGGGCAAAAACCTCATAATTAGGGCAATGACTTCCACCACCCCCACATCCTGATTGCAAGATAGTAATCATCTAAGGAGAAGCAAAGTTACCGCTGCGAATTCATGGGAGGGAAATGGGTTCACTGTTTTAGGTGGTGTGAGCCAGATCAGCTATAGTAATTTTAAAAAATAAAAGTACTAGCTCCAATTTGCAGCTTTTTAAACAAATAGAACGCCCAAAATGGCAAGTGAAACAACAACTGAAATGATAAAAGGGAACATAAGTAAGTCCAACAGTGAACTCCTGAGGAAGAATAAGAATACTTCTTATATATTCCTTTTTATAGAAATGGCCAAAACAGATAGAACCTGTGTATTGTTATATAACAATCAATATCAAACACAAGATCAACCCAATCAAACTCCACGCTAAACTGGTAGTATTCATCGCAAAAAATTAGAATTTTCTAAAATGGCAAATTATTACTGGTAGGTGTTTAGTTTTGGAATTTCAGGCAATTTCCTATTTTAATGCTGGCATGGGTTAATTTTTTCAAAAACAGTAAATTTTTTTTTAATAATATTTTTTTGTTCATATTTGCCATCCAAACTTACTATATCGCTGAATTCGCCAGGGCCATCAAATACAGACCTTTGGCAGCCCGGGAATTTGATGAGAGGTCAGGAATCAGACATAGAAATTATGGAGTGCCTTTGTACGATTTCCTCTGTCTGTGGGATTGTGTCCATGACAGTGTGCCTAACGTTGGATCCGTCGTTAACATTTGGCTCTCAGCCAACCCCAATTACATCCCAATAACACTATTCAGTTCTGAAATAAGATGAATGTATAATATTGTTACAGTTGATTGCTAACTCCCACACAAATGTTAAGAATAGAAAATATACTTATATTCAATAATGCTAAAACAAATATATAGAATAGAAATGTTGTATAAGCATATAGCATATACTTAAAAATAACAATGGAAATAGAAATGTAACAAGACCTATGTACGCTTTTATAAACAAAATAAAATAATATATCCGCAAATTTATGCTAAATATATACCAATATAGCTGCTAAATAATATACAAAGTAATTAATGTTATCTCCAACCCCAGAATGTACCGACAGAAATTAAATAGTAATAGTAATGAGATTGTGGTGTTGCCGAAGTTATAGATTATTACAAAGAATGGCTGAATAATATACCAGAATAATCTGGTGTATTGGACATTGTATTGCACATTGACCCAGTATTGCACCTTAAAGAACTAATTGCACATTTAACAACATTTAACACCCGTTTAGTGAATGATGACTCAGAGTTTTGACATTCTGATGGAGGAGTTAAAGAGTTTGATGGCCACAGGCAGGAATGACCACTCTGGGGTGCATCTCAGCGGAATGAGTCTTCCACTGAAAGTACCCCTGTGTTTGACCATTTCATTGTGGAGTGGGTGGGAGAAATTGTCCAAGATGGATGAAGCTTGGACAGCATCCTCCTATCTGACACCGCCATCAAAGAGTCTAGAGATAGCACTGGCCACCACAGACTCATAGAACATCACCATTTTCAGGCAGATGTTGAAAGAACTCAGCCTCCTTAGAAAATCGAGATGGCTTTGGTCCTTACTGTAGAGGGCTTAAGTTTTCTTAGCCCAGTCCAGTTTATTGTCAACTCTCAGGTACTTGTAGACCTCTACATTGTCTACACTGTCCCCCTGGATGGAAACAGGGGTCGGACTAAAAGTATGAAGGTGGGGTAAATGGTAAATGGACATGTACTTTTATTACGCCTTTGTAATCTTTCGACCGTTCAAAGCACTTTTACACTATATGCCACATGCGCCCTTTCTTACACATTCACACAGTGATGGCAAACTCCATCAAACAGAAACTAACTCATTCATGCACATTCACATGGCTGCGTTAGGGAGCAATTTGGGGTTCAGAATCTTGCTAAAGGATACTTCGACATGCAGCGGCAGGAGCCGGGGATCAAACCAGAAACCTTCCGATTAGTGAACGACCCGCTCTCATTCTTTTAACATCAGTCCAAATTTGCATCCTGTCTCTTTCCAGCAGTTTTGGCGATTTCAAGGTTAAATAACATATCCCCTGAAGAGACCAAAACCAACAATGAATTCATCCTGCTACACTAGCCATGTTAATATTAATATAGGAATATCTCTTACTGCAACAATAAGGCACTTTTATGTGTTTAATATAGTTTTTAGATGGTAATGGAGTTCTGTGGCTGGGAGGCAGAAGCTGTTTCAGACTGTAGCTACACAGAAAGTACTTGTGTATGGGATTTGTTGATAACAATAATCATGATAGAGACAGAAATGATGATGATGACTATGATTATGATTATATATGAGTGTGTGACGTGTGTTCCTACAGGCCAGCAGTGGAGTAAAGCAGTGGAACAAAAGGTGGTTTGTCCTTACTGACAGATGTCTTTTCTACTACAAAGGTTTGTACTTCATTTTGTTCTCCAGTCCAGATATGTGCATTTTCAAGTTACAGGAGATGTGACACAAATGTTAGTAACTTGTTAATCTGATAGCACATCACGTTGTAGTAAAATGTTTTACGTAATGTTAAGTCAGACTTTTATGATTTTGTTGAGACTACAAATATTTCACCTGGTGATGAAAGGCTTGCTGACTGCTGACTTTTCAAATGTTAAGCTAGACAACTACCAAAGCCTGCCTTATTGACTCTACATGGCCAGGCCAGCTATACACCACGCACAGCTCTATACTGCTATATTACATCCGTACTGCTTATAAATAGTGAAGGGTATAGTTTAAAATTACATTTCATTTAAATAATGTGTCTAAGTATTGCTAACCTACTCCTGCAATGAACTGTTGTGGATGTAAAAATATTTATAAAAGACTACTTTTCCCAGCTATTTAGATCACTGCTAGTCTGTAATAGTATGATTTGTGTAAATAACTTTGTATTATGATGCAATCTCTTCTTATATAAATGACCACAGCTTTAACAATGTTTTAAATCTTAAGCTGAATAGTGAACATGAAAGTTCACTATTCAGAACAGTTAAGTGTGTGTGTGTGAATGATTTGTCCAGATGTATAGTTTAAGATCTTCAGAAACAAATCCTTCCTATCTTTTAAAGATAGAAGAAGGTAATTCATGCCAAATAATTTAAAATCTTTAAATCCCCTTCACTGAAATCACTTTTGCTGCTCTTTACCGCTCCTATTATGACATAAATACTCCTGTCATAATGTAGTAATGACTACTGGGTACTTGTGGGACAGAACGTCAACATGTTGATGGGTGTTGCGGCTGATATGATCCCATCGCAAGATGGGCTCTCGTTTACTTTGATTTGAGTTGATTGAATGTATACATATAGTACACTGATTAGCCATAACATTATGACCACCTGGGCACCTTGGTGGTCATAATGTTTTGGCTATAATGTTTTGGCCCTTGTCAAAGTCGCTCAAATCCCTACGCTTGCCCATTTTTCCTGCTTCTAACACATCAACTTGAGTACTAACACATCCCACCCACTGAGAGGTGCCACAATAATGAGAACAATCAGACTTGTTTACTTCACCTGTAATTGCTCATAATGTTATGGCTGATCGGTGTATATATGTGTGTGTGTTTGTGTAATTAAATCACTCATCTCGTCTCGTCTATCAACATCATTAGAATTTAAGAGAAAATTAGCACTTTTTATTTTTTTACTTTTTATTAACTCTGTATCCAAATCCATGTGCTGTCTATTTTCTTGCCTGTGAAAATTCTGTTTCAGTATTATAATGTGTACGGGGACTTTTTTATCCTACAGTAACTGTCCAGTACTGACACCGTATGGGGCTTATGTGTCAGTTATGCGTTATCTGACCTCAGAGCTGATGCAGCCTTCAATAATCTTGTGCAGGATTGCAGCAATAAAGCTACATGCTATGATAAGAGTAGAACAGCCAACAAAACAGTCCCTTCTGGATTAACTGCTGCTCTATTTCTTTTTTTGCTGCTGATTCGATACACACTACTTTGCCCCTTTTGTCTTACTGTCTCTAGTAATTAAATAATCCAATTTAAGGTGCAATAATGTTACAGACTTCAAATTACAAACATGGTCTTAAAATGCCCATGCTTTTCTTTTCTTCTTGTTTCTTTTTTCTTTCTTATTTTCACGTAATTCCTTCTGTGCTAGAGGCTTCTCTCTTTATTCTGAACACGTTGTTTTGTTCCAGCCTCCCCTCCGTCTCTGCCTGACCCAGCTGTGTTTTGGAAAAGAAGGCTTAGAGAGAGGGAGCGATGGAAGGAGGAATGTGTGACAGTGCAATTTACCACTGCGATTGCTATGCCAGCAAGGTCTAAGGGCCAAAAAATGGGCACAAGGGGAGGAGAAGAAGCACAGGACTTTTGTTGTATGGGTTGTGTTTTACAGGGCTGTTTTTGACTTCCCCATGGGACAGCTTGTGTTTGTGCAGTAATGTGTGGTTGCTTGGACAAACATATATTGATGTTTTTGACCAATATTGATGTTTTTGTAAAAATCTTCACTTTGATGAGACTAAAATCTGAACTCTAATCATTTGATTATTGCTAATGTTTTGAAACTTTCTAAGTTGTAGTGACTAAGGCATTGCTAGATCTTTAGTAAGTGGTTGGTTGCTGAGGTGTCTCCATATACATTTTAAGTCCTGACAGACCGATTAATCGATAATCAGGCCAATCATCTGGTATCAGGCGATGTCAGTAAGGCTGCTGTGGAATGATGTTAGCGCTTTGTGAGTTTTGGGAAGGTGGTGACAAAATTGGTGTCAAGCTCTGTACTATACAGTAACTCCAATGCGTCCTGCTGCAAACATATGCCTGAATTTCCCATAGAACAAAATTAAATTGTACATGATTTTTATTAGTTTTTTATATCAACATTATATATCAGGCATTGGGACCTCTCTAAATATTTGCATTGGCCAGGAAGAAACCCATATCGGTCCGCCCCTATTTTTAAGTGTAAATGAATGTAGCAAGTACTACCGTGGGATCCCTTAGCACACAATCCAGCACCACAGGTTAGTTAGTTAACTCAACTCAACTTTATTCTCTCTCAGCTGCACACACCATCAACACACAAAACTCAGCTTTCTGGCTGATCGGACGCTTTTATAGCCCTCTTCAAAAGTCCTGGACAGTCAGCTCCAGACGTCCTATCTGATGTGTGTGTGTGTGTGTGGCAGCCCACTCAGGTCCAACACACTTCTGCATTAAGAGAGGAGAGATTACTCAATGAGCACCACCTCTCTCTCTCCTGCCACACTCACCTCCACAATTAATAATTACTTTTTTAATCTTTACACTGTTTGAACAGCTTGAAGCTCAAGCATTATTTATTAGCTCCAGCAATGGCTACCATGTGAATTTGACAAAAAAAGACTAAGAACCTTACACACACATTACATTTAATAAATGGAATATTTTGTGTGATGAGGTCTGGGGACACGGTTATACTTAATATTATACTTCTCTCTCTTATCTTTCTCTCTCTCACTCCTTTCCTTCCTGGTCGTTTTGACTCTTTTATGATTTTATTATATATCACCTCTAAAACACTGATCTTACCATCAAATAAATCTATTGCTGAACTTAAATGCAGTATTTCAGCTATACAGGCAGATCAGTTATAATGTTTTTGTTAGTTGTCAGGTCACTGCAACATTTGAGGCTTTTACATCACAAGACAAGAATTCATAATACAAAAATCTCTTAATTATTAGAAGTTGAGGTGGAAGGGAGAGACATTTGAATTTCCCTGTGTGGAGCCCAGTATCATAAGTTTGTTAGTGTCAGTTCTATTGATCCAGTGCAACTGATGTATGATGGTAACTGACCAAATTGTCTCTTTGGATTTAGTTTCCAACATGTTTTCTAAACTGAATTCCAGCAGGGGGCATATCCCCTTTGTTGAAAACATTAAATAATAATGAGCCAGACCAGGGCTGTTTTGGTTGACACACCTTTGTAATACCGTTATTATCTGTTCATAGAGTGAGTTCATGGAGTTGTTGACAGTTGATCAATAAACACTGTAAATTGTCTTCACATCTGTTTTCAGCTACACAATAGTGTGTTTGTAAAGTTTATATACTGCTGTGTTAAATGTCTTATACTGTGTTTTACATTTCCTCCTGTCACCATCACTTTGTGTCTATAAATATCATAAATAAATCATTCAAATGTGTGTGGGAGCAAGAGAGAGGCAGAAGTGTGTCTATTTACCTGCTGTCAAGTTTGAGTGTGTGTGTGTGT